TATATATATATATATTAAAAAATAGGTACTTACTGATTTCTTATTAGGCTGGCTGCTATCATATCCAGTGGTAATGTCCCGTATATGCAATATAGTGAATGCCCCGCAAAATTTTGGATATTCTTTTGGAGCATCAAAATTACGAAGTCTTTCAAATATCCTTTTGATGGTAGGTGGATCATAACATAAGAAATATGACGTTTTTGAAATATGATACCCATATCTGCATAAAGATTTAGAGTGTTAAAACCAGATTTCAGGTAACTCTTAAATAAATATATATATATTAAAGATAAGCACATTACAGTATTCTGTAGAAAACAGCAGCCCATAATTCAGAGAGTTTTAATACTCTTTTCCAAAGGATCGACTATTCCTCAAATACAAATTTAGAAAATAAAAAGGATCTAAAGATCCCAAGACACGTTCATATAGATGAGCTTCATATAATACAAGCCTTTGAAAAATGAAAGAAACAATGAAACATGTAGTGTATAAAATCGGTAATAGTAGAACTTACTCTTCATAAACGTTAATCAGCTGCTGTCTCAATGTTATGTTCTTGGTTTCAAGGTAAGATGCCATCTCAGCAACAACAACTGCTGCGCTCACCCCATCTTTATCCAGAACAGAAGTTCCACACAGAAAACCTTAGAATTAAAGACATCTTTAGGAAAGACAATGATGGAGGAAAATGTAAGCTGACAATTTCAATGATTTCACATTTCTTCAGAAGGGCCAATAAATCTCAAAGCCTTGTATTAGCTGAAGCTCATCTATATTGAACGTATCTTGGGATCTCTAGATCTTTTATTTTTATTTCCTGATGAGAAATGCATCTACACATTTCTGAGTTCTCTGTAGTTTTTACAACTCAAAATGCAAAACCAGAAGACAAAAATTCCTCTCCATTGAATTACCACATTTTAAAAAATGTTCTTAATCAGAACAATGTGGAACAAAACTCAAAATCATTTGGAAAAAAAAAAAGAGACGAGTTTGCTGGTCTGATAGAGCCTGATGGAACTACTGAGACTATGGCCCCTAGCTGCCCTTCAGGTCTGGAATTGAACCCACTCCTGTGGCTTCCAGCCAAACAAAAGACAGGCATATGAGCTGAACATTTACACTAGGTAGATACACTCCCTGGAGAGATCAATCATGGGAGAATAGAAGGGCTGTGTATACACAGGGAGATAGCTCAGGGGGCAGGAGTATATGGGAGAGAAGGACACAGGGAACAGGTAATTATGGGGAGGAAGTGGGAAGGGAGCTGTTGCATTGTGGTAAATTGTAGTCAATGTCATGAGACAAAGTGTATGTGAACTGCTGGATGGAAAGTGAATTTGCTCTGTAAACTTTCACCCAAATCACAATTAAAAAAAAAAAGTTCTCAATCAAATTTCAAAGATTTTAATATTTACTACATACCAATAGACTCTTCAAATGCAAAAAGGACTTCTTTCCCATTTTCCAGGAGGTCTTTTATCCTACTTCCAATCCATTTAAAACCTGGTAATGTTTCCTGAAATGCAGAGGAGCCCACTCCAGTTAAGTGACTAAATACATATTAGAGAAAAACCTGTCACTGAATGCACATAACACTTGGAAAGTGATCTTCTGTTATGGTCTTCAGTGTCCAAGATTTTCATAGTGGGAGATGGTAGGTGGATCATAACATAAGAAATATGAAGAGTCATAATGTGCCATAATACGCATACTGCCACTACTCATTACCTACTACTTACTGAGCATAGGAGGGTGATTTGCACAAAATATAATGCAATATTTATGAGTAATTACGGGAAGAGCCACAAAGTCACACAGATTTATTCATACGTTATGGTCATTTACTATTTATCAAGCATTGTGATAGGTACTTTATATCCATTATCTCTTAACGCTCACAAAAACTCTGTTGCTAAAACAGAGGCTCAGAGGTTAAGTAAATACGCTGAAGATTATGCTGCATATAAAAGATGGAGCCAGGATTTAATACACTGGCTCTCGGAAACTGTCTTTTAAGCTATAACCACTGATAAAACTATGAAAGTTGTGATTTAGTCTCTTTGAGTACTTAAAGGCTATGAAATGTTTTCACTCATGTACTTTCAACATCATCACAACATATGCTTGAACTAACTTTACTTTACCATCACACTGTGACCTAAATAAAAACACCAAGAGCATTACTAAGTCCTTCTTTGGTGATTAGATTTGAGGACTTTCCATCTGGTGAACTACTGTTAACTTTAAAGACATGAACTGTTTCAGAGTTGGGAGGAAAAGCATGTGATAAACACTAATTCTAGAACTCATCATTAAAGATTCCTAAATCACCTATCTCCTAACAGCAACAACAACAAAAACCCCCCCCAAAACAATAACAACAAAAATTAACTAACACATACACACAACAAAAATAAGCAAGCAAATTTATCATATGGTCTTCAGAATTATTCTTTTTTCTCTTTTGTGCTCATTATACGTTTTTCTTGCCATAGATATAAACAAGGAAAATATTAACATCATTGTCATTTATAATCTAAGGCTTGAAAAAACTTTCAATTTCTTCTACTTGGTTATTTGTTTCTTAGAAAGGTTTGAAAGTTCTATCTGATAAAGACAGGTATAATTTTCTTTTACTCAGCCAATTAATATTAAGACCTGTAACATGGCTATGGCTCAAGAAAAATATCCCAGTGTGACATTTCTACTAGTATTTGACAAAGACGACAGTGTAAAGGCAACTTAATTGTCATTAGTCCCAGTTGCTTAAAAAATGATCTATTAAAGATCAATGTAACTCCCTGATGTTCATAAAGGCTAATGATCTATATCGAGAGACAGAGAGAGCCATTACTTATCTTTTGGATGTAAAATTATTGGGTATTACGTTAAAACTCAGAAGACTACTTACAGTTGCTTAAAACTGAGCTTGAAGGGCCTACATGAATGGTTGGTAACACCTACAATTTTTTGGAGTGGAGTCTGTATTACTGATGAGGCCACCAGGAACCAAATTTTCCCCGTATGAAAACGAGATATTGTACAGAATAATAATTGTTAATGCATTTTTTAAGAATATCTTAGTCCTAGAAATTGTTCACATACTGGATGAATTTGACTGAAAGTGTTTGAACTATCAAAATCTAAAAGCATTAACAGAATTAGAGAAAAATAGGTGACATTACTAATAAAATCAATAAAAATCAGTTTTGTTGGGGAGATGCCTTTAATTTAGAGAAATGGGTATAGAAGAGCAGCACATATGTATTATCTATTCTTACTTCAAAATGAAATCCTTCTTTAAGTGCAATTGCCTTCAAAATTTTAGAAGAGACTGTTGTAGCTAACATATAAACATTCTTCACATCAGCATTTCTTGATTTATTTTTCTTCCAGCAATCAAACATCCACCACCCAAACAAAGCTGCCAATTCATTCCCTGTGAAAACTTTCCAATGGCCACTGTAGAGAGAATGAAAATTTAAAAGTCAAGACTTTTCTAATTTCTCATGAAAATTTGTTGACTTATAAGACCTGAAAATTAAAATCCTTCAGATAAGAAAAATAAAAAATGATCACATAGGATCTTTGAAAAAACATTTACTACTACTTTTCTAACAGCACAGAAGAGGGCTTAGGATAGCAATGGCTGCAATGTCTTCTGGAAAATTATTACATATGCTAGTTTTATTCCATTATTCAATAAGAAAAAAGTCATGATAAATATTTAAGACTTTATGTGTAAGGGCATTTATCACAAAGTTAAAATGGCAAAAATATATAACTACCCAAAGGCAAACATTAGGTAATGATTAAATAAATTGATAGGTCAATATGTTGGGATATTATGCTACTTTTAAAATTAATATTTTCAAACAATATTTAAGGATACGGAAGATTGCTTACAATACAATGTTAAGTGGAAGATAATCAGGATATAAAACTATATATCATATAATTACAATTTTATAAAAACAAATATATCTTTAACTATTTGATTAGAAATAAGATTGGAAGGAAATGTCAAAATACTCACTTAGGCCTCGGGTGTACAGCTTATAGAAGATTTATACACTTTTCTTATTTTTTCATTATTTTCAATAAGCCTGTAAGACTTAAAATAAAAGACTGCAAAGTTTAAGCTTTTAAGCAAATAACAGATTCAACTTACTTTTCCTCAATTTCTGCCACTGCCAGTCGGTCTGCATCAGGGTCTGTGGCTAAGACGATCTGGGCATTTTCTTTCTCTGCTAGTCGCAGGGAAAGTTCCTGAAACAGTGACCCAAAAAGCTAGATTACACTAAAGAAGTTAAATTTAATGTTAATATTCCTAACTGTAGGCACCACATTAGCCACATGAATTTTAGAATGAATATAGTTTGGCTAAATTTAAAATAGGAAGCCTAGCGGTAGGAATACCTACCACAGAGATTTCAATCTAAAACGGAACACATGGCACCAATTAAAAAGATGCAAATTGAAGTGGTTCTTGTTTTTGTAAGTAATTTTTGAATGGTCATTTCTACCTGTTCTGATGAAGTTTCATAAATGAATAATAATTTAAATAGATATTTAAAAAAATACCAGCACAGATTCTCCTTCTTCAGGATTTGGGCACTTAACAGTAGAAAAGTCTGGATCAGGATCTTTTTGCTCTGGTACTGGAATTGGGGGTTTAAAACCAAACACTTGAAAAGCCAGCTGTACATAGTCATGGCCAACCCCATGAAAAGATGTATGAACAAATTTCAAGGTGGTCTTTGAGTTTATTTCCCTGTAAAAGAAAATCATCATTTAATCAATATCAGAAAACTTACTACTTGTGATATAATGAAAAAGAATCAAATTCTGAGAAAAAAGTGATTAAAGCCTTCAGCAGAAGTCTAAGGATTAAATACAAAACAAAACCCACAACTATGCAGTATTAAGTTAAAGATCAGAAAGATCTCTTTCTTTCCTTGACCTGGATAACTTCCTTCCATCTGCTGTGCCATTACCCTCAGCAAACCACTATCACATCACCTCTTACTGGTACCATCACAAAAACTTCCTACCTGGTTTTTCTTACTTTCCAGCAGATCCTTCCCTTCACTTCCTTTCTTTCCAGCTTAGATCCAAGATATCTAATTTCAATCACCTTTTTATAAATTATCTCAGTTACTTTAATGATCCAATACCCCAATCTTTGTTGAACTACTATATATATTTTCCAGGTGTGCACCAAAATAGCTAGATTTGCTAGAGTTAATCTCCCAAAAAAGGTTTGAATAGCTTCATTTTAAATGGACACTCAACACTGTCAGGGAATCCTACTCTGTTATCCAAATAAACTTACTTTTTTTTACTCTCTAAGATGATGATTTAATTAATATCTTCTTGACTTAAAACCCAACCCATTGACATTGAGTCAACTCCAACTCATAGTAACTCTGCAAGGCAAAGCAGAACTGCCCTCATAGGGTTTCCAAGGCTGTAAACCTTTATGGAAGCAGACTGCCACATCTTTCTCCCCAAGAGAGGCTGGTGGGTTCAAATCTCAGATCTTGTGGTTAGTAGCTGAGGTTGTAACCACTACACCCCCAGGGCTAAACGCTCAGCTGCTAACTGAAAGTTCAGTTGTTCGAACCCACCAGTTGTTCTGCAGGAGAAAAATGTGGCAGTCAGCTTCCTTAAGGATTTACACCCTTGGAAATCCTACAGGGCAGTTATACTTTGTTCCACAAGGTTGCTATTATTAGGAATCGACTGGACGGCAATAGGTTCTTGTCTTAAACCTCACATATTCCTTTCCTTTCTCTTCACCTCATATGTCATTGAGACACAGAAGCCATCTGACAGGAACTTCCTGATCTTCCCACACCAAAATCTACTCCCCCACCAGCATCTGTAATGCTTCTTTTCCTTCTTCCATCCAACAATAATGAACAAGTGTTCATTGGAATATTCACAGGAATGTCAGAGGTCAATCCCTCCCCTTCTGCTCTGGTCCCTCTGTTTTCTCACTCAAAAATGTTAGTAGTTGAGTTAGCTTCTCTCTCCAACATCATTCCCAGTAGCATCTAGTCTCAATGTATCTTGTCTTTTTCACAGCAAAACTCTACATCTTACCTAGCATTTATTAGCTGCCCATTGAAGAAAGATGAGGCAGTCTGTCTCTGTAAAGATTACAGCCTTGAAAACCCAATGGGGGTCACTATGAGTTGGAATCGACTTGATGGCAGTAAGGTTTTTTTGTTTGTTTGTTTGTACACTTTCTATGTACTGATGACTTCAACATTTAGATCATCAACACAAATTTTTGCTTTTATCTCCAGGCTCATATGTAACAATTTACTTGACATCTTCTCATAAAACAATAAACAAACAAACCTATTCCCATTGAGTAGATACCAACTCCTAGCAGCCCTATAATCTTTACAGAAGCAGAGTGCCACACCTTTCTCCTGTGAAGCAGCTGATGGATTTGAACCGCTGATCTTTTGGTTATCAGCCAATCTCTTAACTACTGCACCACCAGGGCTCTAAATATCTCATGTTGTTGTTGTGTTGTTATGTGCTGTCGAGTTGGCCCCGACTCATAGCGACCCCTCCTTGGGTTTCCGAGGCAGTATCACTATGA